AGGATTTGTGGGACAGATTGGGATTTCTATCATTCATTTTGAAAACCCTTGAAGTGATTTGGTACTTGACTAATTCTGTTAACATCATTTTGAATATTGAACTACTTTTAATAGTCTTTTTGGGGACTCAAATTACATATTTCAACTGGTATTCTGTTACACAGAGATTCAGCTTTCCATTTGTTATCTGACTGGTGGAGAGAGTGGTAGAAACAGAAAGGGTTTGGACAAAGGAGGCCATCCACTGTCATTACTGGAGGCACATAAGGAAAATACAAGTTTCAGACTTTGAAATCTTCATGTACAGTCAGATGAATTTTAAAGGTGATCGGCTGATCTCTGAAGCTGAAGCAGTGTGTGCTGTTTTCACATCATTTGCTACATTTTGTCATTATTCAGATCATTTTCTTTCGACATCTGTCAAATTGCACGATCTTGATTTTTGATGCTTTAGCATAATGCTGTCAAACTGAAAGAGAAATATTCCAGAATCTGGAATGGTGTGTTGCTGGTTGGGCTTTTTTTGTGTGTGTGTTTTTTTAAGGTAAATGGGCCCCATTTACATTTGTTCTTTGATGTTAAATTCTTTGCTGCACATCAGAGAACAGTTGCTTCTTCCCTGGAGCAAATTTTCTTTCTTCTTTTTCCCCCACTCCTTGATTTTTCTTTTTTTCCTCCAGTTTCCTTACAGTTTTATCTCACTAATTATGGAGGATCAGGTTATGTATGGCCATCATTTAGCTAGTTGCAGGCATTTTGAGAAGTGCTTATTCCATAGCTGGTTCCCTAACCAGATTCCTTAACTCTGCTTCTCTGGTAGTGAGTATGGCTGTACCTAGCAAGAGCTGGCTTTGTGAGATTGTTGTTTTGTATTGCTGAAATTGAAATCACATTGAAATGCTGCAGAATGCATTGCAAGACTGTGATGGATTCACATACAGATGAACAGGATGGCGCTGTGCCAGACCTGCCTGTGTTTGGGTTGCAGCAGGGAGGGTTTGCATCCATTCTGTAGCACGATAGAAATCCTACTGCTGACTTTCCATCCAAAAATCGCCATTTGGAGCTGAAAGATTTGCACAGATTTGTACCACTCTAAAATTAATAATCATATGTAAGCAGCTACGGTGTTGATAACCACTGCAGACAGCCTAGATGTCAGCAGAACGCACTGTCCTCATGCGTGCACGCCCTGCAGTGCCATGGGAACAGCATCCCTGCACCTCCCCATCAGCCTTCAGCAGGTGCTTGGCTGCAGTGTGTTCAGATAAAGGTCTGGTTCTGTTGAATGGAACTGCATCCAAAATCTTCCTATACATCTTACACCCTAAAAACTGCACGTGAAAGTCTGTGTGCAAGCCATGCCGCAGTCTGTGTTTGGAGTACGGTCGTATCATGGTAGAAACTTTGCTACTTTACTCTTAGTAATGTGGCTCTGTTTCATGAAAGGCAGAAATGAAAATCAGATGGTGTCAGAATGGCACCCATTAGTTCAGATGTCACATCTGTATTTCTAATGCTGTTTTTAACGCTTGTGTGAAATATTTGGTTGAAGTCGGTGCAGTTCTGCTCAGCAATCACAATAGGATGCTTTAAGGCTTCTTGTAGAATTATGGTTGGTTTTTAAAACCAATTAACTGTAACCAGGACATAATCTTTTTAATGCAGAAGTCCTCACTCTGTAATATAAAGTAACTGCATGTTAAATTGTCATAATCAGATAATTTTAGCTAAAACGTGTATTAACTGTGTGAAACTAAACAAGTTAATTTTTTGAATCGGTGGGATTCCTCTATGGCTTATCCAATTTAAACCCTTTTATTACAGAAATGGATATTACAATTGATATTTCTGACAAGTTTTTGCCAAGCATGAATTTCAACTGCTACCTCTCACACACGGAAAACTAGTTTAAGACCATTAACTATATTTGCAGTGCTGCCCATTGCTATAAAAAGAGTTAGACTTTAATGAATACTGGCTGACCCTCCAAGTGTTCACCTTCCAGTTGGATTCTTATTCATTATGTTTCTGAAATAGCGTGTAACCTGAAAGTGAGGGAATGCCCTTCAAGTAGGCAGGGTGTGCTTTGTGCAGTGCACCAGATGAGCAGCCTGGGAGAAAAGAAGCCCAGGAAACTGCTGCTTGTGTACATTGTGCCAGTTTTAACCTTCTCGTTTGTCATATAAATCCACAGCTATGTGTATTTGCTTTGCTGTAAGTCTTTTCTGACAGAGAAAGTAAGTAAAAAGGCCTTCACTTTTTTTGTGCGGCAGTGCTTGATGTGCCCAGGGGTGTAGGTTTATGCTTCCCCAGGCTGCAAAGCAACAGCTGATGGTCTGCAAGTGTGTTAAATGTGGTTTAGCTGCAGGTTTGGAAAAGGGAAATGTAAGAGAACACAATGGAAAAGAGTGTTTGTGAGCATGGCCATGAATTAGATCTTTTCAGCTGACCATTGGATACAAGTAGGAGAAACTGCCTTCTGCTGAGCATCGCAGGGCCATCTGTGCAGTTTGTGATGGTGCAGGAGCTGTGAGGTGTTATGGATTTGGGGAGAAAAGCTGCAGTCAGCTGTGGCCATAGGGGCTGGGTGGGCAGTTTTAGACAGCTAGGGCTGGTCTAAATGCACATTTGCCATCTCCAGGGGAGTTTTGGTACCTCTGGAAATCAAACCCCTCAAATAAGGATGCATTAAATGCAAGTGTTTCTTGTTGACTTGGAGACAACTTACTGGTATTTTGCAGGTTGGAATTTGTTGAAGCCGTTGCAAAATAAAATATAGCTGCGTTTAGATGAACTTGTCAGATGTATTTTGTCTTTAGAGAGGAAGAAAACACTGAAATTCAGCATCTCTTTTGTATCCCCTCTGTCGTGTCTGTCTCAGGTTGTCCTGGGTCTGTGCAGTATGAACAAAGGAGCTGTGCTTTGTTTCTGAAAGCTATAGGTTTGTTTTAGTTCTTTGTTGAGATTTCTTCAGGAGGTTTTCAAGCTGCTTCTGTGGGAGATGGAGCCTTTTACCCCAGGCATGCTGAGAGAGAGCAGCTGCAATGTGATCTGTGCAGTGCTTTGCTGGCTGGTAGCTCTGCCTTGCTGGGAGTAGCAGAAATTTAATCTATTGCAGACATTTATTTTTTTACTTCTTTTCCTAAACTGACACTTTCGGTCACTTTATGCTTTATCAACACTGCACATCATAACCTGGACAAGAGTGCAGTGGAAGGAGTTAATGTGAGCCTGAGCACAAGGAGAAGTGTAGCACAGAGCTGACACAGCTCCTCCTGTGTTATTGCTCTCTTTATCATGCAGCCCTCAGCGTGCCCAGGCAGTGCTTTCCATAGCGGGTCTAAAAAAGGTGGAACTCTCTTTATCTGATGCTCCAAACTTCTTATGTATGTTGTTTTAAACCAATGCGTGGTGCCATATCTCTATTTACAACAACAAAAAAGTGTTCTTGAAATACTTAATAATTGATTTTGATTAACTATTTATTAATACTGACTAATGCATGAAATACGGAGATTTCATAATCTCAGAATTTGAAGGGATTCAAGGCCTTAAATTGCAGCGTTGTGTAAACTCACAGATTATGTTTAACTGGCTGTAATAGACTTACATTAAGCTGCACCACGGAGCTGCATGATGCAGAGGATCTGAGCCTTGTCATGCTCTCCTGTAGTGCCTTGAAAACAGTCTGCAATTTTAAGCCTCTACATTTAAAGTCCACTAAAATCAGTATCACCATTTGCTTGACCAAAGGGCCTTATGCTTGCAGAACCCAAGTTTAGCCTTGCAGCTGGACCGACCCATGTGGGGCAAAGAGGCTTTGAGTGGCCCTTTGGTGGCTGTGGTCCCCAACCCATGGGGCTGGCACACGAAACGGAGGGGACAGATCAAAGGTTGGAGCACAAGGTCGCATTGATTTTTGAAAACTTAATCAGCTTAAATTTGCTTCAGAACTCTGCTTCGCAATGTTCCATCCCCTAAGAAAATGTTTTCCTTAGACATCTCTTCTCAGATTGTAGAGCCAAGAGCGTGAGAGTGCTGAGGAGCTCATGGGAGGGCAGTGATGTGATGCTGGTGTCATTGTGATGCAGTGGGACCTTAGAAAAGAGATGGGAATCAGAGCTGTCTCCTGAAATTAAACGGAAAATATGTTTTAATTATTGTTATCTAATTATTATGGAAAAGAAAGTATTTGAGGTAAACCCTTACAAGCTGTTTTCCCCCAGAAGTAAGGAGGCATATCCTTACTGGACACCACTGTACCTTGTTTTCGGTGGGTTTTGTTCTTTATCATTGAGCTGTGAGTCACAGAATCACAGAATGGCCGGGTTGGAAGGGACCTCAAGGATCACAAATCTCCAACCCCCTGCCACATGCAGGGTCACCAACCTCCCTATTTATACTAGACCAGGCTGCCCAGGGCCCCATCCAACAAAAAGAAAGCCAGGAGCAGGAAGGAGCTGTGGCCAAAGAGAGCCCACTTGGGCTCTCATGCAGTTTGATCACAGCCTGGAGCAAAGCCTGGGACTGGGAGCGGGACTGGGCAAAAGGAAGCCATGACATCCCCGCATAGTCTTGCTGTTGGTGCTGTACCCCCCTACAGCCTGTGCTGGGGCTTTTTCCTTCCGTTTCTCCTTCCTTTCCAGTTGCATCACCCCGATAAACCGGTGGCTGTGTTCCTTCCTCCCCTTGCCACATGAACGCGCTCTCTTCTCTCTCTCCCCCTTTTCTTTTTTTTTTTTTTAATCCTCAGAACTCTTTATGTTTTTCTAATAATTGGCAGCAGAGGTACGATTTCTCCCCTCTTTCAAGCGATGAATAGTTGGCCTCAGATCAAAGGCGAGCCCTCGCGGTTTGCTGGCTGCCGCAGAAGGGCGTGGGGCTGGCGTGGGTCCCAGCTCGGTGATGGGCACGGCGGCTCGGTGCCCGGGGGGGCTGCCAGCAGCACGCTGCTCACCCCAGCTCATCGGGTGCCTCTGTCTGTGTGTGTGTTTCAGGCCAACGGCCGACTGAAGCAGATGGAGAAAGAGTGCAGCCAGAAGCTGGCCAAGTCCTCGCAGGTAGGTGACGAGAAGACAGGAGCTTCCCATGAGCTCATTTGATTTGGAGACCTGATGAAAAGTGTAATTACTTCTGCTCTTAAGTGTAGGCCTTCATGATCAGGAGAAGCTGTAACCGTTTCCCAAATCAAATATACAGAGTCATCCTTAAGACTTTAACCTCAGGAAAAAGACAGAGACATACAGCTCACTATAAAAGATTTTTTTAATTATTTTTGGAGTTTTCTTCTTTTCCATCCTTTGAGAACCCCCAGAGGATTGAGCCCTCTGTCTGGGAAATGCAGCCCCAGCAGCAGCCCCTGTAAGCAGCACAGCCCATGGAGCCCACAGATACCAGATAGCCCTGCAGATACCAGAGCTGTGTCTGTCACCAGGTGGGCTTTGCCCACAGGAATCACAGAATCACAGAATGGCCAGGGTTGGAAGGGACCTCAAGGATCATGAATCTCCAACCCCCCTGCCATATGCAGGGCCACCAACCTCCCCATTTAAGAGACCAGGCTGCCCAGGGCCCCATCCAACCTGGCCTTGAACACCTCCAGAGACGGGGCATCCACAACCTCTCTGGGCAGCTGTTCCAGCACCTCACCACTCTCTCTGTAAAGAATTTCCCCCTGACCTCCAACCAAAATCTCCCCTCCTCAACTTAAAACCATTTCTCCTAGTCCTGCAGTTATCAACCCTTTCAAAGAGTTGATTCCCCTCCGCTCTGTAGGCTAGGTCCATGTTTGGCTCCATGTTAGGTCCACAAGGTCCATGTTAGGGCAGCAGTTCCAGATGGGCATTCTGCTGGTTAGTATTGCTGCTACCCAGTTCTTGTTCTGAGGGTGATGAGGCACTGGCACAGACTGCCCAAAGAGGAGGTGCCCATCCCTGGAGACACTCAGGTCAGGCTGGATGGGCTCTGAGCACCTGATAGAGCTGTGGGTGTCCCTGTTCATGGCAGAGCAGTTGGACTAGATGGCTTTCCAACTCAAACGATTCAGTGAATCTAATTCAGCATTTTGCCCAGAATAACATTTGGAAGAATGCAGTGTCCTGACAGCAAACAGTTTTTACTTTGACTTTGACTTTTTTCATTCTTTAGTGTAGTCTTTAGAACATGAAAGGTGAAAATGTGTGCTGAATTTGCATACATGCTTTAAAAAGCTAAGACAGGATGATTTCTAAATATTTCAGCTTTCAGTTTGATTGACAGGTAGTACTGAAGTGTGAAAGATGATGGAGATGCAACCAGAAGTTAATCTTTTAATAATAAGAAAATTGCCACGAGGATTTACATGGAGGTGTCATTCTTTTCATTCCTCCCAACCTCAGCACAGTGCCTTCCTGTTACTTTCAAAGGCGTTTTCAGCAGTGGCAATAATAGTCTACTCCTCTATTAAAATCAATAAAAGCACGACAAAGAAGAGTTTAGAACCCTCCAAACTAAAGAGGGGAGATCAATGGCACAAGGAGAAGAAACTGCAAACTCCAAAGTTTGCGAAACACTTCAAAATTTGTAAAGCTTTCGATTTCTACTTTTCAGCTACCTTTGGTAAAGCTTTAGAAAGAATAAGACTTGAAATTATGGGTCTGAATAGCAGAAAATTTGTGAAACCCAAAATGTAACGTCATGCGTGTCAGACCTTAAGGAAGAGATCCTTCTCATTGCTAATTCTAATTTACCTTTTGTTTGTCACTTTTATACCATTGTCAGCTTCTCTGTGCCAGGCAAACTGAACAAAAGTGGGTCTTGATCCATTTGTTAAAGACAGATGGACTAATCCCAGCATTTCTCAATTTTTAAACAAGGGGCAAGAGAAATGGCTTTAATTGTTACAGTGGGAACACCTATGTAGCGCAGTGCAGAGCCATAAATATCTAGTCTAAATGTCGTAATAAATTTTGTCAGACTGAAATTTATTGGCCTGTAGAATAGTCTCAAAATGGAAAAACTTGGAGATGTGTTTTTTTTTAAGGCAGGCATTGCTGTAGCTAACACACACTGTTCTCTTTATTGGGGAGAGATGGACCCAGCAACCAGACCTGGCATTCCTCTGTGCTTTCTGGGGCAGACACAACACATACATCATATGTCAGGGCTATTTGGCACAATGAAGACGTTTTACCCTAATGTCTGAATTTCTTTACTTTTGTGGGTTTGAATCAAATCCCTAGTGTTTCTTGAGCATAGTCTTTTTCTTGCTCAGTATTAATAATGGGTCAATTGCAACTTTTCTTGTGGTCACGTTGCTGACAACATCCGTCTAATCTCATGCTCTGTGGCCTCTTGGAGCATTCACTTTTAACACCCACAGAGAGGAGATATTTCAAGAAATTTCCTCTGAAGTTTATGCAAAGTAAACAGATTTTTTTCTCTGAAAAGTACTGCATAAAGCAGATCTTTCTCCATCAATTCATGCTGAAATTCCCTAGCATGTGTTTTAGAATTCCTATGGCAGCCCAGTAAAAACTTTAAATTTCACTTCTGTTGTATTAATGGGTTATTTTATCTTTTTTTTTTCTAAGTGACAAAACAAAATATACACAAATCTAGGAAATATCCATGCATGTTTTACTTAGGATCTGCTTTGCTCTGTAGGATCTTCAGGACCAGTAAGACATAGAGAAATAAATTAGAGCGAACTTTTAAGTCCTTTTCCCTGGTGGTTCTAAAACCATCACTTGTAGAATATTACTTCTTGCATCAGTTCCATCCCATTAGCAGTTGTTTTGCAGCAGCTTTTTTCTTCCAAAATAATGGTGGCCCTCGTGTAGTTCAGTGCTCTGTGATGACAAGGAGCATTGCAAACACATCGGAGCGCCCCGCTATCCCCTCCCTGGCTGCCTGTGTTGGAGCTGTTCTCATCTCCAGCAGTTGAAACTCGAGTCTGGATATGTACATTAAAGTCAGTGGCTGTCCCATGTGGTGCAGTGATGACTTCCCTGTCAGCATAACATTCTGTAAATAAGCCTGAAGGGTCTGATGTAGTTATGACTTTCCACGGTGATTTAAAAAAGGAAAATAGTGCAACAATTACATTTCAACAAATAGGGAGTGAATCATATAAGCAGAGTACTGCAAGGTCCTGGGTGTTCAATCAGGTCCTGCTGCACTGCCGAGCAGAGTGCATTCCTTTCAGCTGCTCTGAAGTTCAGCGTTTCATCCCAATAGGTGAACGTGGGCTCAATGGAGCTGGAAGGTGTAACTGTAGGAAATGTACACAGTTATCTTCCTGCAAATTTTCCACACTCATTTCAGGGCAGTGGAAACCTGCAAACTTCCTATATTTTGAAGATCACAGATGTGCTTTGTTCTCATGAGTAAATATTTTGGAATGTCATAGTGGAAAACTCTTCCAAATACTTTGTGTTCAGCAGGTTTTGTTATTTGTAGCCTCGCTATCTTCCTTTTCTTTGTATGACATTTCCTGCTTGCCAGTGTGCAATGTGTTAATTGAGAATATTTGGTTTGCGCAGCAATATGCCAATGCCATGCTCTTACCAAGCATAAAAACATGCCAAGTACATGCCTGTTACTGAAGAGAGATTTAGCATGCTGTTTTCTTTTTAGATCATAGCTGAACTTAAGACAACCATTTCCTCTCTGACAGAAGAGAACAGCCAGCAGCAGCTCGCTGCAGAGCAGCGGCTCCAGGAAGTTGTACAACAGTTTGAAGATAAGAAGCAGCAGCTGATTACAGATAATAACAGAGCAATCAAGGTAATCTGGGATGTTAGTCACTGATGCCACAAGCTGGGTTGGTGTAATTAACCACACTGTTCTGCAGTGGGCAGATGAACGCAGGAATTGTTCCTGCTAACACGCCACTCACCAATTCCATTCACTGGGCTTTGGTCAGAAGTTGGGGTTTGGCAAGTCTAACCCATCCAGTCAAAAGCTTGAAGCTCTCCTTTTCTCCTAATGTTAACTTGGGTACTGTAACAGGTTTCAGCACGTTCAGATGGTGCATCACAGCAGCTTCCATTTGGTTTTCACAAGGAGATGGCAGCGTTTGTGATTAAGGACACAATGAAGGAAAGCATGTTTTTAGTACTATGAGGGGAATCAAGTTTGTTATTATTATCTTTGAATTTCTCCATATTTTGTTTTGCATCAGAGTTGCATTCTCTGGCCCCTTGTAAGCTTCTTTAAAGAAGCATTAAGAGTCTGCTGGTGTGAGTGTCCGGACTGTGTTCCTTGCTGTTCACACACCTTGCCTCCAATCAGCTGCAGAGGACTCTTTTTAAATGTCTTTCCTCTCAGAGTAGTAAAGAGCAAAGGAAGATTCTTTGAACAGCTGTAATCTGTTGGGCTTGACAGCTAAAGCACTTCATTAAAAATGGTGTAGAAGGAGAAAATGCTTTTTTTCTTAGTAAGGGCGTTTTCCAGTGCCAAACAAAGAATGATGCTGTTAAATCTGGGAACTCATGAAAAACCAACTCCTGTAGTTTTTCTGACTTGTTGAGCTGAAAAGAAATGGTGGCAGTTTTACATGTTGGAAATGTCTGGTGTTCACGTAGGCTACAATTAATGTTGTCTTCTAAATTTGAGTGGTTTGCATGATGAAATTAGGTTGACATTACTATTTCATTATCTGGAGAGTGCTTTTTTTCCTTTTGCCATGAACTACTTAATGATGTTTTTCTCTTCATTTGTGTGTGTTTCTTGAGGAGCAGAATTTTCTTTCTGATCATTTGTTAGTCTATCCTGTCAAAGGTTTACAGATATAAACGTTGGTTGTAATTTTTTATCCAAATTGGATCAACGGAGGTCGGTTTTATTTTCTTTGGGATCTGCAAATAGGATACTGTTAAGTCCCATTATTTTGGAGTACAGTTGGGATGATCCCACTTATGAACATGCATTATTAGTTCCCCAGCATTCCAGGGGCCAACTGGGTGTCCAAACGCACTGTGACAGTGGAGCATCCTTCCAGCATCCCAACGTATTCCAGTCAGGAATACACTGAGATTCACCAGTTGTCATGCATTCTACCTCCAGAAGTTATAGCTTTGTAAAACATGTTTGAGACTGCTTGGCAGCTTTTTCTTCTCACCTGGTGCATGTGCTACTATTGGATTTACAGATTCACGAGAGTTACTTTTACTGGAAGCAATTCAGCTGTTAGTAACAGCAGCTTTTGAACACTAATGGTTATGGATTCTATGAAATCCTTCTCCATGTAAATGTGTTTTCTGCCATTACAGACTTAATTTGGACATCATGACTCAGAATATAATGGAATACATACAGACCAAAGGGGAATTGTGCACGGTGTTTCTGAGCAGTGTCCTGGTGAATTTTTGGCCCTGGTGCCGTGTTTTCTAAGATTTGGTCAACATGGGGAAGAAATTGCAGGAGATGTTATACTTGGAGATCTGGAACTTTTGTTCAGTATCATTAAGGTTGCACTTGAAAAAAATCTTCCTTTGAAACCACTGATTTATTAGAAATGAACTGAAAGCCAGATATCTGAGCAGAAAATTCTTAGGAAGATGAACTGCTGCATATACTTGTACAAGAGTAAAGAGATGTTTTTAATATTCAATCACTTTGTATTTTTAAGAACCACACATATTTTCTAGACAAGCATATGCAGAAATACTTTGCTTTATATTAGCCTGGGGCAAAAAAACTGTTCCTGGTGAAGTGGAATCCTAGATGTACTGGGGATAGGGAAAGGAATCTATCCCAGGGTAAGCTGAAGACCATGAGAGTTGATTGAAGAAACATTTTAGAGACAGAGCAATTCTTAATATGTTATAAGCCTTACAGAGGACTTAATACAAGCTATTGAAAAGACTATCGCTGAAAAACAGCAATTGCTAAATATAACATTGGTTTAAGCTAACACTGAGGAACGGATTGCGAGGTACTTTATATGGTATTGGGTGACTTCCTGTACGGCCTTCCACTTATTATTCTTTTCAAAGGGAGAAATATATTTTTACAGAAACCAACTGGCTCTCAGAGAAGTTCCACGTTTAGTCAGTAAAGTGATATCCAGATGTGGATGCCATCGTACATGATTTTGATGTTAATGCAAATTCCTGACTCTTTTCTAGTTTTCTAAGTCCTTATTATTTCATGATTTTATCCATCTCCTCGGTCTTGATTTTTCTTAATAGCATCTTAAGCATTAGCAAAAAAAGAATAAAAGAAACTTAAAAACATTTTGCTTCTTTTGACAACCTAAAAACCCAATCTGAGCAACACTTTTAGTCTTCAGATGGCCTCAATTTGGGTCACTTTGAGACACGCTTAAAGTACTTGGCATTCTGTATTGCACTGTGATTTGTCTGGCCTAGGGCAAGCCAAGCTTCGTGCTCTCAGAGTCATACAGTCAGGGTAAAAGCTTGGCTGGTGAACTTCCTTTCTTGTGGCTCAGGAGGTATCCACTTCGGATACCACCAAATTGCAACATCCAGCAGCAAGCGTCCAAGTTGCAGTGATCTGACACAGCGCTGAGCAATGAGGTGACTGCTATTGCTGCCTCCTTCTGCTGCTGAATGTGAGCCTGCAGGGATTACGACAGCGCTGGCACAGGGGATGGAGCACGGCTCCGTGCTGTGCAGATCTCTTGCCTTTGAACTTTCCAGGGCTTGCACTCCTTGGAGCACAGCACACAACTCTGCAGCGGGCCTGGCACGGGGCAAAGCCAGCAATGCTCACCTGGTCTGGGTGCCATGCTGCTCCCCTCATGTGCTTACACTTCAAAGATTAGGAACCACTGGTTTAGATCGCAGGATTAGTTGAGAGCACAATTATATTAATGCCCTGCAGATGGTTGGAAAAGCTTCATAAGTTGTAGTGTCTGTTAACCTGTTTGTGATGCTTTATGCAGGGATTTGATGCTCAGCTCTTGAGAATGTCTATGCAGGAGTTCTGTTGTGATGTAAGTGCTGTGTAAACTTATTAAGGCTAAATTTAAACTAGCTGTCTTACATTCTGATAGCAATCTAGCCACAGCAACCCAGAGCTCAGCACTGTCAAATGGTCAGAACGTTAACCTAACTGTTCTGGTGCTGTCAGCAGTGGTTACTGCCTGGATTCAGCTCTAGCGTGCAGCTGATTGCATTGTAGAGATACCTGGAGGTGATTTGTGAAACCCTACCCTCTTTTTTTTTTCTTTTTTTTTTTTTGGTGAAATTCTTTTGGATTCTGGGATTGAAAATGCTGCAAAACAGTCAGAATGTTTTAATGCAGAAGTAGATGGCCAAGTGTGGACTCCACATCAAAAAGCAGATTGTGGAAAGAAATGGATGATGGAGAGCATGCAGCGACAAAGCCACAACAGAAAGGGAAGAGAATGATGCTTTTTTGCCAGAAGAACCACATTTGTTATTTGGCTCATATTACTGATTCTAGAATTCTGTTATGTCCCCTGAATTAACACCAAAATTTCATTAGCAAAACATGTTTTGAAGATGATGTATTTCAACACTTTGTGTATCAGCCAAATCACGATCAGATTAATTCTGTTAATAAATAGAACTTAAAAGATTTCTAGGAAAGAATGTCATACAATAATGTTCTTCTTTATGTGAAGAAGTTTGAAACAGTTGTTCTTCTTCGTTATGTTTTAAAATGTCGAGGGGAAAAAATCAGAAGTGTGACTTATAGCCATAGAAGCACAAAGGAGAAAACTTCTGGTTTGAACTTGTCCAGACTAACGTGGGCACTGAGCACTCTCAACAGCATCACTTTATTGTGTTAGATGCTGCCCTATCTTGGAGCAAGAAAACAATTTCCTCTGTGCAAACGCTTGGCTGAGGCTTTATCAACACGGTGACATTTCTGAGTGCAAATATCAGGAAATCCTCTGCTGTCACTGCCCCTGTATCAGGTACCCCGCTTGGTAATCCCCCTTCCCTTTCGCCTTTGGTTCCAGCTAAAAGTAAAGCAAATAATTTTAAGCCTTGGGTTGTTTAAAGCATTCAGAACATTTCTTCAAGGGCACCTGATATCTTTGTTTCCAAAAAGTAGTTGTCAAAATATACTGGTGGTGATTGCAAATCCCTCTAAATGCAGTAGAGGAGAGAAACGATGTTTTTAAAAATGTTGTGAATAAACTCCTTTTAGTTATATTTTAATATCAGCCATGTTTATTAGCAAATTCCACTTGTAATTACAAATAATATTTGGAGTTAAAAAAAAAGCATGTCAGAACTGTGGGAACATGAGCTGAGTGATGGGAGTCCTGCAGAAATGTTTAGCCTGTTGTCCTCAAAGTACCTTTTGGAACACTGGAATTACTTTGTATTTCCCAATGATGTTCTTAATATAAAAAATTACAGTTTCTAGATTTTAAAGTCCCAGGCAAAGCTAACAGTCAGTGTTCTAGATGTCTTATTAATGCTTCCGAAGGGAGAAGATGCATCAGAGAGCGTGCAATGTAAATAGACCTGGAGTACTGTACAGAAAAGAAGCATTTTTGGTTCTGCCTTAGAAATGAGACAGCACAGTGCAGAGCCTTCACTCTGTCTGGGTTTGTGGCAGAGCTGGAAATTACCTCCAGCTCCTGAGCTCTGCTCAGGGGTGCATCCATCCCTTCTGCACGGAGCTTCAGGATCCAAGCAGTAACAGGGTTAGGGTTGGGTTAGGGTCCAAGCAGTAACAGAACTGCAGTGCTGCGTGGTTGGAGTGGTTGTTGGCAGTGAGGGAGCCCAGTGTGAGACCACATCTAACAGCACACTTGCAGTCTGGTCAGACCCCTTTGA